ATTAACTCTTCCATTTTAATTTAATTTGATATTTATAAGTTCAAAATATGGATGTTTAAATAGTTAATACACGTTATTAACATCAAGTCAGGTATTAATTTTAGCATCATTCTATTTTAAATAAATGTTATTTTTATCATTTTTACAATAACAATAATTATATAATAATATTAATAATATAATAATAATAAAATTATAATACTGTTATTTTCTATAATTAGTTTATTTTTTGTGTTTTTTACATTTTTTTTAACAAAAACAATATTCATTTTTTTTTTGTTATTTCATCTTTTGTGATTTGAATTTTTCTTGTTGCTTTTATTCTTGGAGGATATGAAGAAATTAAAAAGAAAGAAGGAAAATATGATATAATAATCACAAAGAAATATATTGAAACAAAAATAAAAAGATAGTTGAAAGAAAAACAAATCAATTATGATTAACCTCATCTTTATTTTTTCATCATGTTGAGAAGTGAGCAAATCAGTTTCTTCAACATGCTTTATTTCTATTGAAATATTGTTTTTTTTCAACCATGCTTGAATTAAATGGTTCATCATTTAAGTTGCTGCCTGATTTTTGTTTTAATTTTAATGAGTAATAAGTTATTTCTCATTCTTTATATTGTTGTTTTAAGGAGAGTATATCCATAACATAATGATTATTGTTCATCTCCTTTATCATCATCTTCTTCTCTTAAAGAAACACTGTTCATAGGTAATATCATTATATTCAAATTCACATACGGCAGTAACAATTATATATGCATCTTCTTTAATAAATTATAATTCTTGATACATAATACTCACCTTAATAAATAATAATAAATAATAAATTACTGTGAAATAGATATTATCTTACCAAAGTCACGTCATAACCAGATGATACTTTGAAGATTTTAAATATGGGAATATTTTATTGTTGAATATAGTGTATTTGACGTGCCATCTTCAAATCTATTCAAGAATAAACAATAAACTAATGACTAATGATTTTAACTTATTGTTCATGTGAGAATTTCTTCTCATCATTCACACCCTCCAGAGTCTACTTCTACTTATTCTTCTACATCACTGTATATTCCTGAATATTCTCCTCAATGTTTCATAATGTCTTTCATATATGATATTACAATATCTTTTACCATTATTTTCAGTCGAATTTTAATTCATTCATTTCTCAACAATCTAACTCTTTCTTTATTTATCAATCTTCCTACTGTTATTATGAATGATATAACTATTACTCTTATTATTCTTTCTATTTTTCTGATATATTCTTGTATTTTCATATATTTATTTTATCTGTAAATGTTTTACTTATATTATTGTCTCTTACTATTGTCATATCTATGATTATTGCTTCTTTTTTATTTAAATCTCTGACACAAATAGCTTATCTTTTATCAAAGTTTTCATTCTTATTTATTATTTCTTGATTCAAACCATAAGTATTTTATCTTTCTCTATTCTTCTTTTCTTATTATTAATTTCTTTGTATTTTCTTATTCTCTTTTTTCTTTATTTCTTCTTCTTTATATATCTCTTATTTAATTTTTAAATCTCTCCATATATATCTTCTAATTTATCATGTTTATTCGTCTGTGTTTTTTAGTGATTATACAGTTAAGAATGACATTATTTATTGTTGGTATTTTATTACAGATATTACTCATTGCATATTTTTGTTCATTTATCCAAATTACTTTTCTTATTCTATTATTTCTTACTTTTTCTTTATTTGAATATATACTTTCTTTATATTATTAATTGTTTTCCATACTTTATTTGTTTTTCTTTTTGTCGGTCATTTTATCTTCAATTCATTTTAAATATTCATTCATTCCTTACTTTCTTATTTCTCCACTTATTGTTATATTCTTCTTGAAACTTGTCTTTTATGTATTTTATTATTTTCTTTTTATCTTTATTTTTCGTTGTTTATTCTTTTTCCACATATTTTATACAATCTATTCAATATTCATTTCTTTTTCATATTTCTTTATTATATCTCATATTATATCTCATCTTTTCAACTATAATTATATATTTGTTCTTATTATTTAAATACAATATTCATCTCTTAAACTCTTTATTCCATTTCCATTTTATTTTGATTGAAATATAATCTACTCGTACACATTCCTGTACATATTATATTTCATTACTTTATTCATTTTCTTATCATTTTATCTATTTCATTTATTTTCATAATTGGTTATTTAACAACAGAAACATTGTATGTGAATTTTGGTATTATTTCTGTATTTATTCTATTAATATAATTCATATCATTTCATTTATTTCTTCTATTCATTCTTTTATATTATTAATTATTTTCCATATACATTCTGTATCATCATTTCTTGTAAATTTGATCATCTCATAATTATTTATATGAATATTCTTTATCTTATAATTGTATAATATTCGTGTTATCTGCATTACTTATATTTCCTCTTTTTACTATTCATCATTTATTTTTTATTTCAATTCTATTGATTCATTTGTTTCAATTATTTTCTGATGTGTTATTTCCATTTTGTTTCATTAGTTACTTTAATATCATCAATATATAATACATGTGTCACTTTTAGTCATTTTCATTTTAAAGAATTACATCAGAAATGATATTCATTTGTAATATGAATAAGAGAGAATATAGTCACATTATAAAATATAATTATTTATTTTGACTTCTCATATTTCTTTTTTATATTTATATCATATTTTATTCTCCATCTTTCACTCTTACTTTTTATTATTTGTGTTATTTGAAATTACATTTTTAAGTATTTTAATGTAATTTCTAGTCATGTATGATTTACATTATCAGATGCTTTTTATTATCATAAAATGTTTCTAATTATCTTTTATGTAGTGTTTCTCTTTATTTCTTTCTATTAAACTCTTTATACTTCATTCATTAGCTGCTAAACTCAATTTCTTGTTTCAATATTGACTTTTATTATTTTTAAATTTATTTTTATTCTTTATTAGTTATTCTTCTATCTTCATTTTTATGGTTGTTGTGAATATTTTCATAATTATATTCAAACAAGTGATTTGTCTACAATTCTCTGGATTTTTTATTATCTCCACCTTTATATATTAAAACTATTCTTCCTCTTAACATTTCTAATGTGATTGTTTTTGGTATTTCTATCTATTCATTAAATATATTCTTTATTTTATCTCTATTACTTTCTAATTTTTTAGATAATATCCTTGTAATGTGTTTATACATGATGCATTCTATGATGGTATTATAGTTATTACTTTTTCAATATCTTCTATTGTTATTGTTACTCTTTTCAAATTCATTGTTTTACTTTCTTCTATTATTTCTTTAATTCTTTCATTTTCTAAATTTATTTTTCTTTCTTTATTATATATTTGATTCAAAAATAAAATTGTTTCTTTTTCTTTTATTTAATTCAATTTCTTTCTTATTTCTTTTATTTCTTCATTCACTTCTATTCTTATTATTTTCTTCTTGTAATATTCTTATTCTTAATATCCTTCTTATTTTATAATTTCATCTTATTAATATATCTTGTATTTTATTTTACATTAGTTTATTTCTCCTATATTCTTTTTATATCATATAAATTTATATTCTATTTATTTTCAATTATATATATTATTTTATAATTGTTTTTGTATTTCTTTGATATTTCTTTCAATTCCCATTTCTTATTATTGTATTTTATTATTTCATCAAAAATATTACTATGAAAATAATACTAAATATAACTCCTTTCTTTTTTATCTTTTCCTTTTTCTTATTAAATCATCAATATATTCTGTATCAATCTTATTGTTCATTTTGTTTTGATTATTTCTTTTATTCTTTCATTTTCTGTATTACTTCTCATCTATTCTACTATTTTATTAACATGTTTTATGATATCTTTTTAATCCATCTCATTTCTTTGTTTATTTTGATATATTCTTCTTTTGTAATATCATTATGTTATTCTTTCTTTATTTTCTTGTTTCTTCCATTCTTCTATTCTTATTTTCTTTTTTTTTTAATTTATTATTTAATTTATTCATTCCATAACTTATGTATTTTCTTATTTTTGTTTCTCTTCTTTCTTCTTCATTTTTCCTTTTGTTCTATCATTTCTTGTTTCTCTTCTACTACATTACTCTTTTTCTATTCTTTCTAAATATTTTCCATACTTTCTATTCCTGATGTTGTTTGTCTTTTTATTGTTCCTTGTTCTATCTCTTTCTTCTCTCTTTTTCTTTCTATAATATTATTTTCTTCTTCTCTAAGTATTTCTTCTATCTATTCATCTCTTTTTCTACTTCTTCTGTTCATTTTTGTGTTTCTTTCTCTCTTTATTTTATTATTTTCTACATTTTATCTATTTGTTCTTGTAATTCTTTCTTTGTTTGTTCTTCTGTTTTTTATCCTTTGTTTATTATTCTCTATTTCATTTGCTTTCTTTTCTTTTTCTTTCTCTTTTATTATATCTTCTATTTCTTTTTGTTGTTCTTTCTTAATTACTTCTATTTCTTCTTCATCTGTTTCTTTAACTTCTTCTTGTATTATTTCTTCTTTTCTTCATTTCCATTGCTATTTCTTATTCTTCTTCTTTTCCAATTTTTTATTCTTGTTACTAACTTTCAATATCTTCAATCATTTTCATCCATTTTTTATTATTTCGTCTTCTCTTTCAAGTCTTTTGTTCCTCTATCTCTTTTCTTTCATATAATATCTTTGACTTCTATTTATCCTCTTCTGATTGTTTCTGTTTTTGTAATGATATTGTTTATATCTTCTATTAGGATAATAGTAATTTTGATGACAACATATATGTTCCAACAATTGTACCAATGTCTATTTTCAAAATGATCATATCTATGAACCATCTTATTTGTATTAAACATTTTTGGTGTATGTTAAATCAATTGTAATAATGAATATTCACATTAATCTCATTTGTTTCATGTAATAATTATTTTTATTTAAAAGTTGTGATGTATTCTTCAATGATTTAAGTAATTAATATTTATTTTATTGATTTCAGTTATTTCATTCACTTTCCAGGCATCTTTGGAGGTATTGCCTTGGAAAGCTACTCCACTAACTGATGGACCATTGCGAGATAAAATACCAGAACGTACAAGTTCTGATTTTTTATCGGCGATCTTTTTCAGGTCACCAATTACTTTAACATTAAATGAACCGAGCACGGCTCGGTCCATTCTGTCAAAGTAGTAGAGGAAATGGTCTATATCCTCTACTGCGTTAACAAGCAAGCTTTTCAATTCTGAAAGCTCGCGTCGAATTATTGTTCCTCGTTCTTCGTCCTCCTGATGAAAGACGAGGTCAATAATATCGAGAATCTCAGCACAATCTGATTCTTGAGAATCAGCGTGCTTCATTGAACTCTCATTGTTAACGCTCATTTCGACTAAGAATAATTATTAGATCATTATTGTTTTTATTAAAATTAAATGTTTAATTTTAGTATAGGGTTAATTTCTATTAAATTTAATATATAAAACTATAATAAAATATCCAAAAATTGTAATACCTACAATGATGCAAAAAGTGTAAGAAAAATAGAATATTCAAAAAGTGTAAGAGTTATAAAATATCTTTTTATTACTTCAAAAATATCTATAATAAGGAAATTACGAAAATAACGAAGATATAATACTTCAAAATAAGAAAATATCTAAGAATAGTTCAAAAATATCCAACAATCGTTCATTTTAAATGGAATACCTCAAAATATCTGTATCTGTTCTAAAAATATCTGTATCTATTCTAAAAATATAAATATAAATCTATTTATAGAAAAATGGTATTTTAAAAACAATAATATAAACATAAAAATGTTATATAAAACAATAGTAATAAAAATGTTATTTATCCCAAAAGGACCAGATTTTCCCACTGTGTATATATGATGTATCACACTATTGTCAAATTGTACCATAGAAAAATATTATAAAAAGATATAATTATAATTCAATAAATTAAAATTAAAATTTAAATAAAATGAATAAAAATATTTAAATAGAAAATAAATAAAAAGTAATTAATTAAGTATTAATAGATTTTTCATCTATTCTTCCTAGTTTAGCCGAGACTAATCCCATCCCTGAGCTTATTAAAAAAGAGTAATCTTTTTGTTTAACTTATCATTTATGTTTTTCTTGCAAATTGAGAAAATCACTTCTTTGTTTTATTTCTTCTTATTAATGTCTTCTCATCCTTCTTCTGTTTAATTCTTCTTTTTAACCTTTTGTTTATTTTCTGTCTTAATTTTAAACATTTTCTTTTTCCTTTTTTCTTAATTTTATGAATGAGAGAAGAGACTATTTCATTCCCATTATATTATTATGACTAATTTTCTTTTAGTCTTACCCACACTTTAGCAAATCATTTTCCTTGGTTAATACATCCATATATATTTTATAATTTCTTTTATTAATACATACCAATTCATATAATACAGTAAGTAATATTCAACCATAATAAATTGTTACATCTTTTTCAATATTAACAAATCAATTTCTAATTCAAACACACCATCGTAACTATATAATAACTTGGAAAGTCAAAACATGAATTATATTAAAGTTTGTTTATGGTGTTGATACAAAAAGAATAAAGAAAGAGAAACAATACATACAAAATGTTCATAAATAATACAAATTAATTATTATTTAATCATATTTAAGTAAATTCTATTAATACTTAATTAATTACTTTTTATTTATTTTCTATTTAAATATTTTTATTCATTTTATTTAAATTTTAATTTTAATTTATTGAATTATAATTATATCTTTTTATAATATTTTTCTATGGTACAATTTGACAATAGTGTGATACATCATATATACACAGTGGGAAAATCTGGTCCTTTTGGGATAAATAACATTTTTATTACTATTGTTTTATATAACATTTTTATGTTTATATTATTGTTTTTAAAATACCATTTTTCTATAAATAGATTTATATTTATATTTTTAGAATAGATACAGATATTTTTAGAACAGATACAGATATTTTGAGGTA